GTGTAGGTACAGAGCATTCCACAAGAAAGAAAATTGCTAAAACCTTTGTCTTGTCCTCCAAGGCTATGTAGATTTGTGATCACTATGGAAACAGTATGGAAATTCTTAGAAAAAATTAGAAATGATTTTACTGTGTGATTCAGTGATCCCATTTCTGGGTATCCGTCCAAAAGAATCACAGCAGAATACAGGGCTCCAGGCCGACATGGTAAACTCTAAGGAAAATCACATTCTGCCAGCCAGGTGAACCTGGCACCCATTCCAACCCTACAGGAAAGAGCATCGCCAAGATAGCCAGCTGATGGAGCGAAAATGAAAGTGATACCGGCAGAATGTGTCCCCCACATTTCAAATGCAGTTCTTTACTGAAAGGAAAATGCTAGAGGCTGAGAACTGGGATCACGTAAAGGAAACTGTTAGGCTACCATGAACTGAAGGTGCAAAAGTATTTCTTTCTCTTGTTCCAATCTGGCCTCACACAGAACAGATTATCTCGGTTATGTAAGAGACCTTGTTTTAGGAGATGATATTAATCATATACTGGGTTGTTGTAGATACTGAGAGAGAAAATAAATGCATAGGATGAGAGAGAGGATTGGAGCCACGCTATGGGATCTCCGCTGCTCCAGAGGCATTAGAGTGCTATTTAAATGCAGATTTAGATCAGCCATCAAACTCTAAGGCAAACCACATTTTTAAAATGTAGGAAACAAGCACACTTGGTAATAGAAGAGAGAAAATGAAGTCAGGGAGAGATCAATGAGAATTAGAAAGCAGGAAAAGAGAAACTTAAAAATGAGAACCAAAAGAACTAGGGAATGGTTAACAATATGGTACAGATTAATCCAACTATGGGAACAATACTGTGGATGTCAATTATCTAAATGTACCAATCAGAAGACAGAGTGACAGAGTAGATTAGAAAACACCGCCCAACATTTTGTTCATTTTAAAAATGCATTTGAAATACAAAAAAAGGCATCATAAAGGGAAGTAGGAATATATATATATATATATATATATATCAAAGTATTCAAAATGTCGCTTATATGTCACAAACATTCAGTAAGGCTATTGCAAAATGTGGTGACCATTGTTGATAACAATGTACCTTACTCTGGAAAATCACTCAGGGCCTGACAGTCAAAATTACATTTACAAAGAAATAAAAGAAAAAATGTACACCCAGGTGACTGTGCAGTGTGGGTCACTGATGCCGGAACTGTTTCTTCACCACCACTGCACGTATTAAGAAGTTCTAGAAAAGGTTGGGCACTTTAGGACTGGCTGCGGCCCACCTTTGTCTCGCTTGGTGTGTACACTCCTGCTTTCTGCCTGTGTGGCACTCAGCCAAGGCCCTCTCCCGTCGCTAAGACACCCCCCCCACTCCCCCCTCCGCCTGCTCACTGTCTGCCTCTTCATCCTCTCGGTACCTTCTGCCTTTGGCAGCTGATTCTCAGGCATCAGGACCAGGGTTTTCTGAAGCAATCGTGTCTTGAGACAATATTTGCACACCCATGCTCACAGCTGCACTGCTCACAATAGACAAGCCACTCCACTGCCCTGTGGATTGGTGAGTGTGCTTTCTCTGACCACCTTTTATAGTTTCTGTTTATCAGTGTTTTTCAACAATTCACTTGGGATGTTCCTTGAAGTGTTTTTTGTGTGCTGAGTTTGTATCTTGCTGAGATTTTAAGTCTAAGGCTTCATACCTCTTTATCAAACTGTGAATATAAAAAGCCAGCACTTCCTCCAATTTTTGATGCCCCACCCCTATATTCCTTCCCTTGTGGATTCAAATTTCTCATTTATTAAAATATTTGCCTTACTCCACAGGTCACCAATGCCTTCTTCATCCCTATAGGTTTTACTTTTTCACCCCCAGCCCACGCCTCATTTGAATCATTGCTAATGCTTTGCCTTCAAAGTCAGGGGATTTTTTTGTGACGATTAACTTATTATAAATCCTACCTAGTGTTTTCCTCCTAAATATTATACTGTTTATTCTAGTATTCTATTGATTCTTTAAAGATCTTCCATTTTTTTCAAGTTTTCCATTATGTTTTTCAATACAAGCAGCTATTTCTACCTGGTGTTCAAAAGCTGTCTACTGACTCTGTTCTGTGATGTCTTTGTTTTGACAGAATATTGTCCTAATAATTACATTTACTATTGTTCTGCCTCTTTATAAATCTGATATTTTTATTGGGTGTCAGATTCCTGAAATTCACATTGTTCAGTCCTTGTTGGCTTCTTTTCAAGTTGATTTGAACCATGTTTTAGGCAGGATTCTCCAGTGAGTGAGCTCATAGGAGATATACAGAAAGAAGCACATGAGAAAGAATTTATTAATTGGATTATTTATTACAAAGTTGGATCACTCTATAATGGAGAGTAAGAAGTCTAAAATAGGCCTTCCAGAAGCTAGAGACCCATGTTTACTAGAAGAATATCTTGGTCCAAACCCAAAGGCTTTAAAACCAAAAAGACCAGTGGTGTAACCCAGCCTGAAGTCAAAGCCCATGAACCCAAAGGGTCACTGATACAAGTCTGAGAGCCTAAAAATCAGACAGTTGGACCTCTGACATCCAAGGACAGAGGAAGGATTTCTTGGCTCTGAGAGAAAGAACAAGAATTCACCCTTCCTCCACCTTTTCTGTCCATCTGGCCCATGGCCGAGTGGATATTGCCCACCACTTTAAAGGTAGACTCCTCACTCGGTGCACTGACTCCCACACCAGTCTCCCCTAGAAACACCATCACAGACACAATGAGGACAGCCCTGTCATTCTCACCAATGCAGACCATCTTTCAGCAGAGGACAGATGGGCTTAGTGGCTACTGAAGTCCAGAGATAAGCAATCCTTTACCAACTGTCCCAGAATCCTTTACCCTAGTCAGATTGAAACCCACCCTCACCCATCATAGACTTTGTCTGGCATTATTTTAATTTACCTAAATGTCTTCTGATTATTTCAAGGCTTGCTTTTAAACTTGGTTAAGTTGGATCCAGTGTGTCCTTTTGCCAGAGAGAAGGCACAAAGTAAGAGAAAGTTAAATTCGATGGTTGAGACTGGTTCAAGAAGAAGAGAACTTGGGGCGGGCAGAGGGCACCAAGTTATGAACCCAGTCTGGGGAGAGAAGGAACAATGTTCATGTGTGAAAGCTGAGTTAGGTCAGGGCTTAGTCCTGAAAGGTTTCCATTTTGATTTGGGAGCTGAGTGAGGTGTGAGATACTCTTCCCTTGGTGGACAGTTAGCATTCTTGGCCTCCGCCCCCTCAAAGGAAGCACTGTGTAGTCTCCTTGCATTAACCAAAACTGCTGCCACACATTTCCAAAATGTCCCCAGGAGGAGGGGAGGGAACCCAAATTACAGCTCCTATTAGGAGCCGCTGGCTTAGGACCTCAAGATTTAAAATACATGAGGTGATCAAAAATGATGGTGAATATTTACCTTTTAAAGACATTACAGTTAAAGACGCTTTGCCAAAAAAGACGGGATAAGGGTGTTTGAAGCAAGGAGATTAATGATGATGTCTTTTGCTATAATGAGTCCTTTTCAAATTCGCCATGGGTTTTGATCACCCTGCTCATCTCTCTTTTGATTCTGCCCTCCATTTTACCCCAGCTCCTCCTTCTGCCATCCCATCAGGGGACCCCAAGAGGTGCTTCCTCCACACACTCTTCCTGGATGATAGATCCATTCACATCCGTGGTTGCAGCTCCTGCCCCGGTGCTCGCCTCATCTCCAGTTTCCTCTTTCCCTTTGTCCACCCAAAGTCAGCCCATCCTCAAAGGCTCAGCTCAAATATTCTCCAGGAAGGCATCTCTGTCCGTTCTAGGGCGGCCACCTGTCCTTCCTCCTGCCCATAGAAATCTTGCCCATAGCTTACATCTTCATTGTACAAAACCGTACCGAATACTACACTGCATTCAATTTATAATCAGGAATAGCTCCTAGCAACTTAAGGTTAGATCTAGATATTCCATTGTGGAAGGAATATCCGTGGCTAGTCCATGTGCATAGGAAGATGTGTGTGTTGTGGAATATACCCAAATATTTCACTGTAATGCATATATACCTCAAAACATGCTGTTCCTGATAAAAATCAGGTAATTTCACAATTCGTTGATTTAAAATAGATAAACAGTGTATCTATAGATAAACAAGCAATCAGAATAGATGCCATTTGCAGAGCTTAGGTGAGGGTCACCAAGCTGGGCGTCCTGGCCATGGGTCCAAGCTTATTCCCCTGCAGTGGGTGGTGCCAGGCTAAACACCTTGTGCTTTGGACTTCAAGGAGGCACAGAAAATGCGGGGGAAGAGCTCCGCAGCTGAAGTGGCAGGGTTCCTGCTATGTAGAAGAGTACTCTAGTCAGCACCTATCACAATGCACACGACGGGCCTGACAATCTTGGTTGATACTAACTTAATGTAAATCCTGCCAATAACCAATAATTAAAAATAAGACTAAATGTATTAATAAAGAAAGAAACAGGAAATGCCTTGCTAAAACATAGATTCCAAGACAATATCCTCAAAAGATACTATTTCTTTAAGGCTTGTCAATAATTTTCAATTACAAACATCCACAGAAAAGAAATCCAAGCTTTAATAAGCTCTCAAAAGGTTCTGATGCAAGTTGAAAGTTTAAGAGTCATTGCCATGGTGGCTTCCTGTGTGTCTGCACGGGTTTGCAAATTCAGTGCAGCAATTGCTTGTTGATGCTTGGAATCTGCCCCACTTTGACCACATAATCAGAGTTCTCTGTTCTAAGTATCGAGGGATGGGGCTTAGTTCACCCAGGACAGGTCTTAGAGGTTGGTTTTAGTCACCTGCTTGATCTTGAGCAGGTGCCTTCATTCTCCGGTCTTCTAAATAGAAGTTTTTTAAAACTGCTACACAGACGGGGCTTCCTGGCTCTCAGCAGCACTGTAGTCCCTAAGCACATCCTACCCAGGCAGCCCCTGCTGAGCACATGAAGATTCACAAAACTGGTTTCTGTTTTCAAGAGGCATCAAATTTAATAGCAGGGAAGCATAGGTAAATAAATACTTATACAGAAGTCAGAGCACATAAAAATATAGAAACACTGGCAACGTCAGAGAACTTAATATCTGGACTGAGTTTAAGAGAATGGGTTGGGATTGAGAAGACAAGAGCAACCCAAACAAGGGAATGGTGCATGCAGAGAATGGAAGTGTAAACCAGAGAGTGACAGCTGGTGCCTGGGAGGGGGAGGAGCTTTAGCCTCCAGTGTTTCAGTGGGAGGAGGAAGATGCTGTGGAATGGATTTGGGAAAACAGACCCTCCCGGTCATTTTTCTGTCTTTGCCAAAGGAGCCTGGTCCTGAGGGCACAGCCATAGCGTTTCACTTTCTCAACCCCAGCAGCTTCCCAGAGCTTCCAGGCTGCAAGTTGGGTATCCTGGTTCTGACTCTGGGCTCATTTTAAAGCTGTGACTTTCAAAGGGTTTTGATTGCCATCCCCAATAAGAAATATGGTTTAGGGTGTGACCTAGAAACATATTCGTGATATCAAGAATAGAAACACAAGATGCACACGTGCAGTGATACCTCCGTGATTACCCAGAATGCATTTCGACATTTTGGTTGATTTTGTTTTCTCTTCTATTTCAAATCAAGGAGAGAAGGAAGGAAGGAAGGAAGGAAAGGCAAGAAAGAAGGAGAGGAGGAAGGGAATTAGGAGAGAAGGAGGGAGGGAGGGAGGGAGGGAGGGAGGGAGAGAGGAAAGTTACATTGGATCCATTAAGCTAGTCTCACAATTCAGTGGGTCACAACTCACAGTTTGAGAAACACCAATCTAGGACTCACAGCCTAGTTTGGAAGTGTTGAAAAGCAGCACAGTGCAGGGCTAAAAATACAGACTCTGGAAGCAAATTGCCAAATGCAAGTGCCTGTTCTCTCCCCTTACTATCTGTGTGGACTCCAGCAAGTTACACTTTCTGTACCTCCATTTCTTCGTCTATATGATTGATAGATTAAAAAGAGTAACTTCCTCTTATGACTGGTGTGAGAATTAAGTGAGATAATACATATGAACAAGTCCAGAAAAACTGCCAGATCTCTAAGTGCAGCCTAAGTGTTAACCGTCATCATCATCATCCTAACTTAAAGCAAAATCGCAGTTCCACCAGTGGAAGAAACAAGGCGATACCAAAGAGTTTATTTGCAAGTCTGTACAAAACTACACAGTGTGCAGGGCAGGTATGGGATGCCCTGGGACCCGGTCCATGCAGGCTGCACCCCCATTTGTTTCCAGTGAGGGGTGAAGGAGGTGTCCTGGAGAACAGGACTGCTGGGTTGGAATGGCCCTTGCTGCTTTCCTTAGCAAGCACTTCATTTCCCCACTCACATTTTGTAATCCAACGTGAGGAGGGCTCCTACCATACTGATGTCTCCCAAAGAGTCACATGTCAAAGCATAACCCCACACAACAGTATTAAGAGATGAGACCTTTAGGGGTGTTAGGTCAAGTCTCCCCCCTCATGAATGGGACTAGTGCCCTATAAAAAGGGAAAGGCAGCCCTTTTGCCCTTCTACCATGTCAGGACACAGTTTAAGAAGCCACCATATTGAACAGGGAGGAGCCCTCAACTCACCAGACACTAAATCTACCAATGTCTTAGTATCGGGCCACTCTGTCTCCAGAACTGTGAGCATTAAATTTCTAGTGCTTACAAATTGCCCAGACTAAGGTATTTCATTATGGCAGCCTGAATAGACTTAAGACAACTTCTTGCTTATAATGAATCCTGGGGAACATGCTAGAACAATAGTCTGCAGAAAGCAAGATTGGGTTCCTTTTCTCATCAATCTAGTCAGGGACAGCCCACTGACAGGTTTTAAAGAAGAGAGAAAAAAACACAAATCTTTCAATTATGACATGATTTAGCCCACCTCACCCAGCACCTCAGATGCTTGGGTGGTAAAATTAAAGGTCATTTGCCATGATATGGGCAGAAGCCAAATTTCTAGAACAGTCTACCCGATAACCCAAAAGGACAAATTCAGGAATCAAAGAACTGGAGACTTGAAGTAAAGGTTTCATTGGTCATGATGATCAAAAGATGATGGTTAACACACACGCAGACCTCATCCTGCTGGCCACGGGGCAGAAGCAACACGTCCAGGCCTCTCATCCTGAAGACCGCAGCCACTGCACTCCTAGGACTCTGCCCCTGACCCTGACATTCCCCTGGCCTGGTTCTCATCATCCCTTCACGTGGCACCTGGAGACTGGACTTCCAGGCAGAGCTGTGAAAAGTGGGGCCCAGGCCCAAGCCCACGGTGGAAGTGTGGTAATGTCCATCAGCTGGTCTGCCTTTCCCAACTCTCTCTTCTCCCCTCTCCCGCCCCATCACTGTTCCCCAGAAACAAATAGGATGGCTTCACTGGTCAATTCTTTACAGGTACAAACACCAAAAGCAGAGGAAACACCCCTGGGCCACCCCCCTCCCCCCGAACCCCAGAGCTGGGAGAGCAGCGGCACCGGCGAGGCGAGGCTGCTCAGGACTGCGGGAGCTGTCCGGCTTCTGGAAACGTCTCTGCCTCTGGGCTTTACCTGGAGGCCTCTTCCTTCAGCTCCTTGTTTTTCCGGACCTCCTCGGCGTGCTTGTCCTGGAGAGGAAGGGAGGGACAAGGGAGGGTCACACAGGCTGTTCAGGGGTAAAGGGAGGTGGAGGGAAAGAGAACAGAGCACCAAGATGACCTCTGCAGGAAGAGCAGGGCTGTGTCCACAAAGGCGTCCTGAGAGGGGTAGAAGATGGCAGATGAGTGAGCCACTGAGGCAGCCAGAGAGCCCATGGGCCAGTGGGTCCCAACCTCCCTTGGGGGACCGACCTCGCAGTGACCCAGGAGCCCACAGCCTTTCTCCCTCCTGCAACCTTCCTGGTGTTTGGACTTCACATGGCTTGACAGTGTAGGCTCCTGCATGGGGCAGCCCATGCTAGCAGAGCAGGCAGGTGGCAGAGCCAGCCTCACTGCCCGAGCCCGCTGCCAATCGCATGGCATGCGTTCGCTTAGTTGCTGCCATCTCTGTCTCCTTAGAGAGCATGACCTGGACTCCATGGCTGATGGGTGAGGGTCCCCAAAGTACAAATCGATAGCATTTTTAGAAAGACCATCCAAATGTTACTCCAAAAAGTAGACTTTCTTGGCCCTTCTTGTAAGAGAATCTTCCTTTGTAAAATATTTGATCTCCCAGGCCCACCTGCTGTGTGACCTTGCTTGACACTTGGCCTCCTTGGGCCTCACTCTCTGACCCAGCCCAGGGGCCTGGCTGGGCAGCACCTCACCTCCCAGGCTCTGGCCGGATCCAGCTGCAGGCTGCATCAGCCATGCTTCATTACGCTCACTGTGGAAGCATCTGGGTCCCTATCACAGGTGACTTCGTGGGCAGGCACCAGGCCATTTTCTTCTTTGTGTTTCCCTGTTCTTGTATGACACCTGGCTTTGGCAAGTGCTCAGGAAATGAGCCCCCTAACCAAGCCCAGCACTGTCACATTCAGATGACAGAATCACCCTGGATGCGATGCACTGAGGCAGCCCAGCCTGGCAAGATGTACCTTAATCTACGGCTGTGTCTCTAGAGGCCCTCAGATTTTCCCTGCATTGGAAGTGGGAAGGAGTAGGGCTCTGCTGTGTATCACAGGACCTGGGCAGCTAGGGTGTCCCTAGGCAGAATGTCCAGGGTAAGTCCAGGTGTCTGTAACTTTACGCTCATGCAAGGTGATTCTGGGATAGACAGTGTATAACCCACACAAAGACTGGCATAAGGGACACTGTCAAAGGGGTCCCCGCCCTACACAACTGGCCTGGGCTCCACCTCCTGCCTCCTCCAGTGGCTACATCTGTGTGGAGATCAGGGTTCCTGAGCAAGATGCTCCCTCAAAATGTCTGCTCTGACATCTTGCTTCTCAGGGTCTAGCTCACCTCCACAGCAGTTATTCCAGGATGGGAACCTTTCCAAAAGTTCTACCTCCAACTCTATTTTTGTTCTCATGGTAGGTCACTGGGCAGAACCCTGGATGGGGGTCCTCCCTTCCCTGGGCCTCCCCAAATCCTCTTTGGTGATGAAAAATACAGAATTAATGGTGGACAGTTCTTCTGGGCTACACAAGGAAAGGACCATCTGGACAGGGAATCAAAAGGCCGGTTTCTAGTCTTGGGTGTGCTACTTGGAAGCTGTGTGACCAAGCCTGTTATTTGACCTTCTCTGACATGTTTTCCTCCTCTGCAAAAAGGGTCATACCTACCCTAATCCCCTTGTGGACTTTAAGGACCACAGTGTCATTGTGGAATGATGAAATAACAGAGTCTTCCAAAGGCTTGTTAAATCCCATCCCAAGTGAGCCGCTGCACCCTCCAATCTCAACTGAAGACTTATTTCCCTCTAAGAATTTACTGCACTCATCTCTCACCAATCAGGGAAGCTTGAAGCCAGACCCAGACTGCTTGCCACCCTGTAGTCCCTGCTGGTGGCCTGGTTGTCCTTTGTAGGACAAAGCAGCAGAGCACAGAGCCACCCCGGCTGGCCAGTGCCAGGGCCTGTGCAGCATGCAGATCTCGTCTGAAGAAACTACATCTTTCTAGCACCTGTTGCCAAGGGCCTGGATTCTAGGTGGATGGGCAGGAAGGAGTGGGGACCACGCTGCTCACCATGGGACGAGGCCACCGATCGGGTCCCGGGAGTCACCGCGCAGCAGGCGGCTCCTGGAAATAAAACACAGAGCTAGAGCTTCCCAGGAGCTGCAGGAGAAACTGGGGCTGCCTTGCAACTCAGGAGAAGAGGCGAGCGGACCCTCAGCAGATGGGCTGCCATTCTGCTGACATGGAAAAAACCCCAGTCTCTCATGCCCCTGAAACTCGGGTGACACCATTGAGTTTACTAACAAGAGGCAGTCTAGTGAGAGACCTGCAGCTCATTTGGTCTTTGTCATGAGGTTTAAAGTCGTGATTCCTGCACAATGGGTCTCTCAGCTAATCATGCCCTGAGCTTAGAGCCAACAATTTAAGTGAGCATCTTTTATTGAATCAAATCAGTCCATTCAAGGAAGAAGCTAGGAACAAAAAGTGTATGTCTATCCCTGTTCTCTTTTGCTAGAAAAGAAGGGCTAGCGACTCCCTGAAGCTCCCTATGACAATGAGACATTTCAGTGATGTAACTGTGTAGAAAATCCCACAAGGAAACCTAGAGCCTGGTCTGTGTCCCACGCCAGTGGCTTCCTATTTCATCCCCTTGGCTCTCTAAGGGTCCTGCCTAGATGAAAGGTTCCCATTCCTGCCAAGGCCACTTCCCCCGAAGTGGTACACGGATCCAGGTACACTCACCGCAGAAGGAAGACAGAGTTTCCGGGAGCCTCCTCCCTCAGCCAGGATTGCTTACCTTCTCTTGTAGCCGCTCCAACATGGCTGCAAGGTGGGCCTCCCGGTTCTCCTTGTTGGATTCCATCTTCTGGGCCAGTTTTTCCTTTGCCATCTTGATGAAGTTGTTGTTCTCTTCGATGGCTTTTTGGATCACCTCTCGCTCATGTTCTCGTTTCTCTGCTAGGTGCTTTAGAAGCTCAGCTTCTTGGTACTGGGGAGCACAGAAACAGAGGCCCTTGGGAGTGAGCCTGCCCATGTACACCTTCACCACCATGGCTGAAGCATGCTGTGTCTGAATGCGTGCCCCTGAGTCTTGTGCAGCCCGTGAGCAGGAAACAAGGAGACTTCCTGGCTGTCCTACCACTTACAGAGCTTTCTTTCTTCTTCAGCCTTTTGCTAAATATCCTCGGGGCCCTTTGCTCTTTGGCATCACTCATTCACAAATACTCATGATCTAAACTGCCAGGTGCCCTTCTAGCAACTTTGGAAAGAAAATCACTAGTAAAGATAAGATACCAAAATAAATAACTGAAACCCAGAGCAAGGTGTTATAAATGCCTTGAAGAGTCAACAGGAAGCGATGTGGGAATTGGGGAGGACCACTTCCTGCCTAAGAGCGGAAGAGAAGCTCACACTCAGACAGCTTCAGAGTGGAGCCATGAGGCCAGTAAGAAAAACAGAAGACACTACATGCTGGAAACATATCATACCATGGCCTTCTCCCCTCTGCTAGGGAAAGAAAACTTTCCACCCATCCTCAGCATTTTCAGTGTCTTCCTCTTCTCATCATGCACACGAGGTCACCTCTAGGAGCTAGGTGCCACATGCCCCTAACCAAACTAGGTTCCTACGGAACAGGACTTCACTCCTGGAAGCTCTGTCTTCCTTCTGTGGTGAGTGTACCTGGATCCATGTACCACTTGCACAGGAAGTGACCTTGGCAGGAATGGGAACCTCTGCCCCTGCGTCACACATGGAAGGTGGCACCTGAGTATCTGTAGGTTGGTGGTGACCTAACCCACACAGTGCCACCACTTGTCCTTTCCAGTTCCCTACTCTTGGTGTGAATACGGAGGGAAGGAGGAAAGGGAAGTGCTTACCTTCCTTCGCTCTTCAGCTGCTTCTAGCTTCTTCTGGATCTCTTCCAGCGAAGGGTCTCTCCGCCGGGGTAGGGAGGCATTGAACTCGGGCACCCCATCGAAGGAGGGTGGCTTCAGGATGACCTCAAAGGACTGGCCCGAGGTGCACTTATTCAGCTCGATGACCTCCATGTCTGATATGACACACCAGTTCAGGTCCACGGTGTCCGCTGCAGAGGGCACAGCAGGGGCTGCTGATCTGCGCATGGCTGGGTGCGCAGAAGGCATACACACATGCACACAGACATGAGGGGAGCCGGGATCCCCAAGGCAGACCAGTGGCCAGGGCTCTGGCTTTATCCTGAACACTAGTACTAAGGTCAGCGGGCTCCGAGAGGACTGAAGGGGTCTGTAATCAAGAGGAGGCTTCAGGATCTGCAAGTCAGGTCCCTGGGGGACGGGGTTGATTACTGCAGCAACACTGGCTACTTTTGCTTCTGCCTCTACCTCCAGCCTCCTCCAAGATTTGAGCTCCTGCTATTGGCCTCACTAGTGGTGGACGATGTGCTGCTCTACCCCGCCTCCCCAGGCCCTCCTTGCCCCACTGCCCCTCTGACAGCTCAGCCTGCAGACTCCCTCCTACCCTGTTCTCTTCTTTCTCTCCAGTCAGCACTGTCTTTCCTCTGGCTTTGAGCTTTCCTCCTACACTGTCTCCCACACCAGCCTAAACAGAAAAAACAGCCTTAGGTCATCTGAACACCCCCTTGTTCATTGCCAGACCAAATCCATCACTTCAGCAAAGACATAGGACATGACCCATGCCCTGACCACCCGCACAGGGACACGAGCATCGAGTGCTCCCTGTGGACTCTCCCATCAGCACTGCTGTCACAGTCCTGGATGGAAAATCCAGTCCTGGAGCATCTCCACCCCTCTCTCAGAGACCTGGTATCCACCAAAGTCTCTCCTCTTGTGGTCTCTGCTCCCTACGGCAGGACCTCTGTCTGGGTCCCTTTGCATCCTCCACAGCATGGATTTGTTCAGGAATGAACACGGGTGACCCAAGAGGACATGCTCTGGGGCAGCCTGATTCAGACACATAGCTTCTGTTCAAGGCCTCAGGCCACCCACTGTGGCTCCAGCTTTCAGGTTCTGGGAAGGGAACCGGACCACAGCCAGCAAAGTCGCATGCAGGGGCTGAAGCCTCCCTGGCTCCCTGGCTCACGGTCAGGGGCTGCAGTAAAAGCACAGGACACAGGAGGTCCCTGCCCTCACTGTCCTAGCTGAGGCTCACTGACCTTCATATTTGTAGGATGATTTATTGAGGGGATCAGCCAGGAAGCAGGAGCAGAACAGGGATACGAGTGGCAGCTCCTTCATCTTCTCCTTGTAGGCTGTGGGCACAGTGGCTGGTGAGGGAGCAGCATCAGCACAGTGCCCCCGAGGCACCCAAACCACCCCGGCCAGAACCCAAGGCAGGATTCACCTGCTGTGCCCAGAGCTGGAGCAACCTCTTTCAGGTTCCTGCATGGGATCCCAATCCTCTACTGTCAGTGAAACCTCAGCTTTTGCAGGCCTTCACCCCTGCCCAGTCCTTCTCCCCTCCTGACACACAATGCACAGCGCTCTCAGGGACAGCCTCTGACCCTCAGTGCTGCCGCTCTGGACTCCAGGACCTGACCATCTCCATGTCACTTCCTGCCCCAGGATGGCCTGACTCCTTTGCTCCGGGAGGTAGGACCTCCCACTTTCCATTCTGCCAACAGCTCTGGGCAATGCAAGAAGGTCGGCGGGGTAGCTGGGCTCCTCACCACCATCCTTCTGCTCTGGACCTCCAATGACCTTCCCAGGACAGTGGTCACAGCTAGGGTGGCCGGTGTCCAGGAGCAGGAGTATGTCCCTACCTCCACCAAGCCCTACTATGTTGGGAGGTCACAGGTCTGGCTGCTATGGCAGCTCCTACAGTCCCTTCCCACTGCCCTGAGCCTGATTCCTCAGCCTTGCTCAGCGTCTGGTCCAGCCCCAGTGCGTTTCTCTCATTTTCTTTTAAAAATTTGAGAGCATATACAACTGCAGAAACATTATATGGGAAGCATGAATTCCTTTTCAAAAATACATGGATGAGCGAGGTGCGGTAGTACATGCTTGTAAACCCAGCACTCTGGAAGACTAAGGCAGGAGAATGCCAAGTTCAAACCCAGTCTCGGCAATTTAAGGATTTAGCAAGACCTTGTTTCAAAATTAAAAAATAAAAAGTACTGAAGATATAGCTCAGTGCAAAGGTCTGGGTTCAATCCTCAGTACTGCAAAAACAAACAAATGAAAACAAAAACAAAAAACCCACCCTCTGTGATGACCAAAAGGCAGAAAAACTCAGCAGTCCTCCTACCCACCACCCAGAGATGAGCCACCTTTGCCCTCGGGTGTTGCTTCCTGCCAGGTCTTTATCTCTGTGCACCTGTAAGTGTACAGAAACTGTAGAGAAAATCTGAGTGTGCTTGGGGCCTGCAGCACAATAGTGTGTGTATCTACCTGCGAGGGTCATGTTTGCAGGAATCTGGTGGCTGAATCCAACCGGAAGTCAGAAGGCGTATGTCACCAGCTCAGCCCACTGTCCCTGAGAAAAGAGAAGATGTGATGCTTTATTGTGCTAATGAAGGTCTCCATCAGCAGCCCAGGAAATCTCAGAGGTGCTGATTTGCATTGAGCCCCAGCCCGCTCCCCACAACAGCATAATCTCCCCACACACGACCTGGTCTACAACACCCCGGGCAAACTCAACTTCCAAGTTCTAATGGTCACTTCACAATTGCCTTCCCTGTCTTAAGGTTTCAGAGCTTGAAAATGTGAGTTCCCCAAAACTCCACAGAGCAAGGCATGTTCGTCTGTATCTAGGCAGCACAGTGGCTAGGCCCTGGGCAAGGGTCAGGATGAGGGGGCATGTCCTCAGTAGGCATCACCTGGAGGTGTTTGCAAAGCAGCTGTGTGTCTGAACTTCAGCCTACAAACATTCCAGATCTCAGTGCAGGCAGCTCCAACATGGGGTGAGACTGAGCTGCTGGACAGAAGATGCTGGAACCTCTTACCTCCCCACACTGACAACCACTGACCTTCCCTGGTCCCACCTGCAATGGCCCTGGACCATGAGAAGTGGCAGCCAGTGAGGCCTGGTGTCATCACTGTTAGTCAGAGACAGAAATCAGCATGTGGGATCTTTGTTGGGGGCCAGGGTAGCCAGGGAGGACCTGCTGCCAAGGGAACTGCACACGCAGGGGTCCAGGGTGAGGTGCTCCCCCTGAAGGCCCCTTTCAAGCTGCTTGGTGCTGGGCCAGAGAATGGGAAGAAGACAGGAGACACAGAGGAAGGGCAGATCTGGGAGTATCAAGGGACAGGAAGCAACCAGGGTCTCCATCAGGACTAGCGAATGGTCAGTGGTGAGTGCTTGTCATCAGAGCCCTTGGTCCTGGGCTGCCCTCAGGGGTCACTGTGCTAGTGGGGGGTGTTGGGAGATTGACTTGGAACCCCTTTCCTCCAGTGTTTTACCCGCCGAGAACCAGCGTCCACAATAGGAGAGGCGGGTCTAACTCTGACTTCGAAGCTATGCCAACGGGAGTCAACTACAGATGTCATCTCTCACTGTCACTGGTCACTTTGTGTCCACACCATGCTTTTCCCATCTGACTTCTGCAGCATTGCACAAAAGAAAAGAGAAAGGCCAGTGTCCAGTAGCCAGCACCCTGGACACACTTAATAAATGTTACCTTCCTCCCCTTTGCCCTTTGCCCTTTGCCTCAGAGTGGTCCTCACCACAGTTCTGCATCACAGCTCAGCCAAGACCTGGCTGCCCTATGGTGCTCTGTTCTCCGTCCTCTTCTTCTCACATGCTTGGGAACCAGAGGCCCCAGCCAGGCCCCTCCCTTGGCAGCACAATGGGTCTTTTTCCCCATAGTGTCAGGCTGGTCCTGATGGTACCAGCATCTCTCCCAACAAGGAGGCGGGTCTGGTGCCTGGATGCCAGGTCCCTGGTGATGAGGCTCCATCCAAAGCAATCTCCTGGGGACGAGGCTGATTGAAGAGTTAACTAGCTGAGTGAGGGAGCCCCAGCTGGACCTCAACATGGGTGCAGAATGAGAAGGGGAAGTCCTGGCAGACAGAGGGGGAGACAGAGAAGCACACCTGAGTGAGAAGAGGACCAAGTAGGTGTGGGCACTTGAGACCAGGGAACCTGCCTATCAGCCTGAGTTGGAAAAAGGCCAAGACCCTGTATGCACGGAGAGCTTTACACCTATGCCTGGGCTTTCACGTGAGCTGAGCCAGGCAGGTATCACTGGCTTTTAAATAAGGAATTTGAGCTTAAGGTCACACAACTGCTAGGTGGCAGAGCTGAATCCAGAATCCCTATCTTCTGGCTTGTAAGCTCTTCCCAGGGAAGAGCCTAGATGCTCTTTCTGGTTCTGCCACAGTCCTCAGGACTCTGGGCAAGCCGGTCTAGCCTGGGGCAACCCTTTATTTAAAAATATGGATGTAAGGACTCTCTACATAGAAGATATCATGCCAAGAGCTTTCAGAACACAGCGTATGGCAGAGAGCCAGCAAAGGATGCCCAGGGATGCCACAGAGGTAGCCAGGGTGCCCATAATGAACAGTAACTAAGATCTCTCAGCCCCACAGGGTTGGAACTGGCAGGATTAGAAATATGCACTTATACAACATGCACCAGATGGTGAGCTCCTTCACTTTAATGTCATGATTGCCTTGTGAGGTAGTAACGATAGCCCCACCTTACAAATACATAAGGAAGAGGCTCAGAGAGGCTAAGTAATATCTCCAGCATCATTGAGTGTAGTGACTGGAGTGAGATCTGTCCACACATTACCCCCTACAGTGAATGAAGGTGGCCTTTTTTGGGAAAAGGATCTTGGCAAGTGACACTAAGGCTCTCAGGATGAGATCATCTCTGACTGCACACGTGAGTCTTCAGTGCTAGGTCCTTAACCATGACATTCAGAGGAAGAGGGTGGCAAGCCATGTGAAGACAACAGCTTTGAGTACCCAAAGCCAGATGCTGCAAGGGTCAGTCTCTGGGGTTCTTCAACAAATGTGGTCTACTGAAACCTTGCTATGTGATATTTGGCCAGCTCTTTTATGTTGAGGTGTCCTGGCAGCCCTAGGAAACCAGTGTCCTCTATAAATGACAAGAGCAGGGTTCTTCATGATTCTTTTACCACATCCCAGTGATTGGCATTTGTATATGGTCTGATTTGTTCCTTGAGGTAATCTGTGCACAGGTAAGTACATGGTGCTCTAAAAAGTCTCAGGTCTACAGTCATATCATTTCTCTTGCACTAAACACTCAAAAATATTGCTGCCCATTAAAAGGTTCTAAGAAAGAATGCAAAAGTTATGGGACAGAAGATAATTGAGACCTTCTGGAGAATATAGCTGGGCAAGAGGCCCTAAGCCACTAATTACCAGTGATATCAGTGTCACATCTGCCTCCTCGGTACGGAGCCTACTGAAGCTCAAACTCATCCTGCAGAGGCCGTTAAGTAGCCATGAGTATGTCACCATGTCACTGCAGAATGCAGCCCACAGTAGAGTAAAGACCACCATGCCTCTCCTGGGACTCCAAAAGGGGCAGAGGGCACAGAACAAAAGGACCTCAGTAGTAGGCAGGAAGCCTGAGAGACTATGGAAACCCTGAGCAAGCATACAGGGCCTTAGGAAGAGATTCTACCCAAGATATCAGAGCATCAGACAATCCCATGCTGAGGCCCAGCCGGGGTCTCATGCTTTCTGTTAGGGTAGAGGACGAGCCTAGGCCTTGGGCAGCCCCTGAGGAAAGCCAGAAAACTGCACCTAGTGGTAGCAAAGAGCAAAACTTCCTCTACTCAGGGTAGATGTGACAAAGGCCCTCTGCCAAGAGCCCGGAACCAGAGCTAGATGCTGTCCCCCCACCCCTGCTCAGGGCACACTTGCAGGCACTTGGGGGTACACACACTAACCGGGGTGGACACACACTCTGCACTCCTCTGGGGGAACCACACTAATTGGTAGGAGGCAAGGCCTCAGGCCACCAGTTCCTGTGCTGCCGGGCATTGACCCAGCACAACAGGTGGAGAGAGGACTCGAGCTTCAGCCAGAAAGGTGAGCCAAGGCTTTCCCTGGCGGTGACGGGTCATCTTGCAGTGCAGCTTCTGTGTGCACAGCTGCAGGTGAGGGTTTTGGAACCTGACTGTCGGGGAATAGATGGGTTTATGTGGGAGTAGAGGGGACCCACTGGGCTGCATGCAGGAAGCCATTGGCGTCTTTTGAACAGGAAAAGGGCATGGTGATGCTTATGGTCACAGGCATATCTCAGGTCATTCTGTGAGGGTCTTTGAACTCAGTGGAATTAGGTCAGTTACACCAAGCTCCGCGTGTATTACAGGGCAGAGCTGAGTCCACATATGTTTCACTGTCTGCCTTCTAGATCTGGTTCTTGTACAGAGATTCATCTGGCAACATTAGCATAGGGCAAAGATTAGGAGTGGAACTGAGGAAACCACAGCCAGGTACAAGTTACATTAGGCAGGTTTTTTTGCACCTCCCCCAAACTCCAGTGTTCTTCTTCCATTTATGAACTGATCCACGTCCCCAGCTCCAGCACCCAAGAGTCTGTGCAGGGAAAAGGAAATCAGTGCACTTTTCTGCTGATGCATGAGGTGCTAGCACAATTGGCAAAGTAAACCAGTGGTGGTAATCCCACCCAGCAGAGCGCCAGAGAGCAGACACAGAAGAGCAAGTTTTGATTGGGTGGTAAAGATGAGAGGCAGGGGGGCTGGGGATTTAGCTCAGCGGCATAAGCGCCTGCCTTGTAAGCAGGCAGTTGTGAGTTCGATCCCTGGTACCGATAAAAACAAAAAAGACAAAAAAACAACAACAACAAAAAAAAAAAACAAGATGAGAGGCAGGGCTGTTTACTGAAGAGAATTCTCATGGTAGGGTGGGCAGGGGGAAGACTCACGAAGAGAAGAGATTGGAGTTACCACTTTCCCCAGAGCACAAGAATATCAGAGAGAGGGAAGCTGGGCTCCTTGAGCCAGTGGTTCCCTGGGAGGAAGTGGAACTCTCTGATTACCCCACTGGAATACAACAGGTATTCAGAGGGCACAGGACAGGTCAACCAGGTGTCCCACACTGCACACAACATCCTCTCACAAAGGACAGTTGTCCCATCCAAAACACTAACACCATGCTCCCTAGGGACCATAGATCCTAGAGTCACAAGGGGAAAAGAAACCAGAGCTCAAGCCTCTGGGCTCAGAGCTGGTGGTTTCCCCCTTCTCATTGGTCCCCTCTCCCCAGACAGGACCCTAATGAGAGGAAGGACCTACAGGGGGTCAGCTGAACAGTTCCCAGTGAAAAGATGGGCCTACAGCAGGGAGAGACACCATGCTAGGGAGTCTACAGGCTCTCCCCACCCCCGCCTAGGATATTTCTAATGTATTCAGTGACCAGGGAGCAGACAGAGAAGAACGCCAAGGTCTCCATGCCACACGCTGGCTTCCCACTTGCACACCTGTCCTCCCGAGTGCCCCTGACTGCCCACCAGGCACATTGAGCAGGTATTTGTTT